GGGGGGGGGCTGCACAGTTCAGGCATGCAATAGATGGGCAAAAGTATTAGGCCACCTCTTAATCGACGAGGACCGCTGAGTTCCCAGTTGATCATCTTAGCAAGATGTTTGTATGTGTCCTACTTTATGCGACGCTCCTTCATGACACGCCTGGATGAGTTTGCTGTGGAAGAACTTTTGTCCACCATTTGTCACGCAAGTTGCACTTGGTCAAGTCAAAAAAGGCAAACTAGCACCTTTGACTCGATAGACATTGAAGATTTCACCAATGGCTCATGAATAATTTTGCATTCATTACAATTAGTAATCATTTTAGTGATAATTCAAGTACCGAATTGCAGGGTGTGTATTTAATAATTATTAACAAGATTTATTTTTTTCGTCCATCTATCCATTTTCTGATCCGCTTATCCTCACAAGGGGTGCTGCAGCCTATCCCAGCTCTTCGGGCAGTAGGCAGGGGACACCCGGAACCGGTTGCCAGCCAATCGCAGGGCACAAAGAGATGAACAACCATTCATGGTCACACTCACATCTGGGGCCAATTTAGAGAGGTCAATCAGCCTGCCATGCATGTTTTTGGAATGTGGGAGGAAACCGGAATACCCGGAGAAAACCCACGCTGGCCCGGGGAGTACATGCAAACTCCACACAGGGAGGCCGGAGCCAGAATCGAACCCACGACCTCTGCACTGTGAGCGCGACTACAGCTGTACTTTGAGTGAAAAATTCCGAAAAGCTGAGTGGGGACCCCCATAAAAAAAGTAAATTCGTGCATAAAAGCTCAAGTGAACATTGACGGGGAAACTAGCATGCACACAAAGGCAGATGCGTCTTGCCGGGCCAGCCAGGTCCATCCTACCATTTTCGTCCACCGTCTGAATGTTGGCTCCTCCGGACAGAAGCTGCTGGACTGCCTGTTTTAGTCCACTCCGAGCCGCCAAGTGGAGAGGCCTGATGAGGTTTGATGTTGTTAGAGGCAGTGTCAATTTTGTGTGCGGCTGTTTTCCCCATTTCGCCCGAAAGAAACTCACGTTTGTAGCGCAGCGTTTGTGGCGTTTATTTGTGCAGAATCGGGTAACTTCTCCAGAATAAGCAGGACACAGTCTTCCTTTCCCTAGAAGTGACCAAATACGGGAATGGGTTAGACAGGTTAACAGCAAATTTTAATCACAGATGGCTTTATGTATCCATGAATGTAGTTTATATGCTGATTTCAAGAATGTCTTTGTTTTTTTTAGAGCACATCATGTTTTTGAAATTTTCATTTATTCTTTTTAATTCTGACACAAACTATTTGCACCATGTGGATCTTACCATGCGTTGTAATTTATAGCTATGACGTTTCATAAAGTCGATTAGCAATTCAATGTGTTTTGATGAGGTGTCCAATAGACCCCCTAGTGGACACTTACATTTTTACACGCTAGATGCAGGGCAGTGTTGCTGTCTTTGTCGGTGTAATGGAGGCAGTTGTTGGTGCTGTTCAGCAGAACCTCTGGACAGGACACACACAAAACAATTCAAGAAAAAAAATTCGCTTTTGTTGACACGTCCAACACAAAGGGAAGTCCAACGCATACCAAGGGCCCCGAGGCGACCCTTCTCGGCCGCCATCATCAGCGCCGTGCGACCCAATTGGTCCACAGCGTCAACTGGCGCGTCATGGGAAAGGAGCAGCTGGACGCAGTCTACGTGACCCGAGAAGGCCGCCGCATGGAGAGGTGTCCTGAAGGACGAAAGAGGAAGAGCCCATTGAAATTCCATTAATATTAATCTATTCCAGGACCCACAAAAACATTTTTGTGATGTGTTTTAATAAAGAAAAAGAGCACTGCACTAAGCAAACTGGAGGAGAAAAACATACACGCGTGCGCGCGCGCACACACGCACGCACGCACGCACGCACGCACGCACGCACACACACACACACACACACACACACACACACACACAGACACACACCTGTCCTTAGCATCCTTGCAGCCGGCGATGTCAGATCCCATTGCCTCCAGCAGCAATGATGCGCAAGCCTCATGGTCATTCACCCTGTTAAAACGGCAAACTCGTTGAACTTGGCCTCATGGGAAACATAAGAAGAATCACTTTTTATGACTTGTGTACAGTGAACCCCCGCATATTCACAGTCCAGTATTCACAAATTCCCCTAGTTGCAGTTTTGGGGAAAAACTCACCTACCTTGTAATTTCTGTATTTTTTGCTCAGGCCAAAGAAGCCTAAGTAATATTTTCACCATTTAGTGTTATCTTGGTATCAAAGAACTATGTTGAAGTGAGTTTAAGACTTTCATTTGGACAAAACTAGTGCTTTGGTGCCATCTTGTAGCATCTCAGTCTCAAGGAACTCTGCTGAAGTGAGTTGAAGAGATTCATTGAGACTAAACTTGTGCGTTGCCACTACCCTTGTGGCATCTACATAGAAGCAACCTTTTGGGGTGACATCAGCGACTACCTTGACATGCTGTCAATAACGCTTTCAAAAAATGAATAATGGCAGTATTCCAATTTTGAAAGGCTGCGTGAACACGTGCAAAAAACAGAAACTGACATTTTGACCTTAACCCGAGTATTGACTGCATGTAAACTTAAGACAATTACTGGCACAAGTGTGAAATTCAAATAACCAAGTCAATCTTTCGTTATTTGCCCTTTTCTGTTTCTTTCTTCTGTTACAATTGGGATGCTTTACATAAGACAACCACTTAACTGTGACACATTCTAAATGTCACCCTATAGAGCCATGGAAAAAAAAAATATGAGAACACATCAACATTCACAAAAGAACAGTGCCTGAACTGCTGTGCACTTACACAGCACAGTGCAGAGGCGTGAAAGGGTTCCCATCAATGCAGCGACAACCTTTCTGCTCCAGAAGAACTTCCACACAGCCCTCGTGACCTAATCACACACACTCACGCACATTAGAAAGATGCGGCTACGCCCACTCGCATTGACGTCCAAATACCAACCGTGGTAACAGGCCCAGTGCAGCGGCGTATAGCCTTGGTGGTCTCTGAGTGGAGGCAGCGAATCGAGCTCGGGGCAGGTCATGCCGAGCAGCTCGCTCAGCCAGGAGGCGTGGCCTCTTGCCGCTGCGAGGTGAATGGCAGTGCGACCCTGAGCATCGCCCAACAAGATGGACGCCTCTTGCTCCAGCAGACACTGGACGCACTCCTCCTGGCCACATAGTAGCTGGAAATATTGGTGGAAAAACCCATCGCCAATAAATGTAATGCAGTTGAACGGATTGTATGTAATCGAGCATGAGTGATTCTAAAGGCCCTGGGAGGATTAGATTGACATTGCAGCACATACTGTACATAAGCTGCTTGGAGATGGTCTTATCGCCTTTCCTTTTACCCTGCTTATCTATAGTTTTGTTTCTAATCTTCTGAGAGCATTTTCTCCTCCGCTTCCTCTGGTCCATGTTGAGTGTGGTCTACTTCAAACAGCACGGTGACCACTTGTCAACCTTTAAATAGGCCAATTTAATTTCTCAGGGTACACTCATTTTTGTCCAGGCCTGTTTCATGAATTTGTTTTTCAAAATCATTCCGTTGAACTTCAACCCAAAAACACTGTCTGATTTTCATTTTTTAACTTTCTTAAGCTCCTGACTACCAGGGAAAAAAAATGTTGTCCAATCACATTTATTTTGAAATTCCCCAATCTATGTGAATTAATTGGACTACTCCAAAAGAAATTTTTGAAATTCCACTACATTTTTTAAACACTTGAATACTAGGCTCAAATACACTTAAAACAACTCAAACAACACTTTAACGTGTTCATAAGAGTCTTATAAATAAAATGCCAACAGCATTTCAAGACAAAATGTGTTTGATAAAAAGTATTACTTTTCCTCTTCCCATAAAAAGTGCTTGCACTGAGGGAAGCCATTTTCTTACTTTTTCTAACCCCTACAAATTTGGTATCATTGGAAAGCACTCAATGTCCTCTTTAGAGTAACAAAAGGAATTAATGTGATTGGATGCACTGGGTGGGAGATATTTAGGTTTACAAATGTCCTCTACAGAGGACAAATTTGAACTTCTGGTAGTCAGGAGGATAAAACTTGTATTTATTGTTACTTTTGTCAGATTAAGGTTATTTCTATGACCGCTGTGGGTTTTTCTTTCATTAACAGAGGGTTGGCAATTTTTTTTTCCAAATGTAGAGAGGCTGAAATCTGATGAGACAAAAAACATTTTTAATCCACACAGAGTACTTAAAGATGTTAGGAAAAAAACAAAAAAATCCTGAAACAAATATTCTAATTTATGTTGAAAATTTAGGTCAGTGCTTCTGATCGGATTTGCTGGCCTCGACCATTTCCCACTCATCCAAGTGATGTGAAGCTCACTCACCCCGAGGTGCAGCGCGGTCAAGCCGTGCTTGTCGGCCATGTTGACATCCACCTCCCGCTCAAGCAGCAACGAGACCGCGTCGACGTGACCTCCCGCCACTGCGAGCATCAGAGGTGTCCTGTACACACAAACAGCATGCGAGTGCGTGTGTGCATCGGTGCGCGTACAAAGACATGACTTACTGTCCCTGACAGTCGGCGATGTCAGCTAGCTCCGCGCTCCCCGATTCATCCAGCAGGAGGCGCAAACATGTCGTATGGCCGTTCATCACTACACGACGGCGTATAAACAAAAATGTTAGCACACAGTGAACTCGTCGCTTAACTGCAACATTAAACGTTTACCCCCACCTGCCAAGTGTACGGGGGTGCGCCTGTGCCGTGTGTCACAAGTGTGCGGCGACGCCCCCTGCCCGAGGAGAATGTGAACGCAGTCGGCGTGGCCCCTCAGCGCCGCCATGGCCAGGGGGGTGCGTCCGGCTTCGTCCACCCGGTCCACCTCCCTCTCCCCCTGCAGGAGCACCTCAAGGGCCTGGGAGTGACCGTGGTACGCCTGCGCACAGTCAACACAATCATTTTTAAAAGACATCAATCTCTAAAGAGCAAATTTTTATCGACAGGTCATACATATGACGTTGTATTCATTTCACATGATGTAAAAGAAGTCATTCAAGTGAGTGAGTAGACAGGAAGTTGCTCTGTATTTAGACTCACAGCGAGGTGCAGGGGGCTCCTGGCATTGGGAGATTCAAGGTCGTCATGGTAACCGTCATCTCTGTCCAGGAGCTACAAGGTCACATGTTGTCAGTGCATCCAACCTGTCAAACTGCACACTTTGTGTGTGTGTGTTTGTGTGTGTGTGTGTGTGTGTGTGTGTGTGTGTGTGTTTGTGTGTGTTGACTGACCAGCTCCAGGCAGTGTTTGTGTCCGTAGGCTGCAGCATAGTGAACAGGACTGTATCCTTTTTTGTCTTTGAGCGAGGCCGTCGCTCCGCTCCGAAGCAGAAATTCCAAACATCTGCAAAACAATCACAAGCCTGAAGAAAGTCAGAGGAAAAGAGGCATCAAAAAGATTCTTTGACAGAAGGCCATCATGCTTCTCTGAATCTGTCCAGGTGACGTATTCCGCCACCTGATACTGTAGCAGGGCTATTTTTATTTGTTTATTTCGGTTTTGTTTTTTTTAAACAGAAAGAGTCAGAAAAGCAAACTTACAGTGCTGCTTCTTTCTCCCTCTCTGCCTGAACTCCTTCACTTTCAGGCTCCAGAGCAACACGTCGCCTGAAAGACAGTACAGTATTAATAACACTTTATTGCACAACACTGACTCATGCAACAGGCAGGAATGAGATGTGTCCTGGTTGAACTTTTATCATCATGTATTAGATTGTGAGCGAGATACAAAAATTAATTTTGGGGGGTGTTTTGACAGTTATGATAGCATGTAATAGCATCGGTATTTCTCAAAGAGGACTGCTTTTAAAATATCGATTAATCGAATGGAATCGAGTATCCTTTTCATCACCTGATATTGATTCATAAACTATAAATCAGTCCTTTTAACAGATCTTTTTGCCATGAATTCATGTGACTCTTGTATCACGCAAGATGTCACTACGCAAGAGTCGCCGATCAAAACAAAAAAGCAGAAGCACTAAAATTGCCAAAGCGGATGTTGTAAAAAACACAAAGACGGCAATGAACTGAAACATTGTGAGACAGTCACAGGAATGTGAACGTTATGAGTCATCAAAACCAGGATGGAAAGGGGCTTTCGAGGATGGGACTTGAGCATCGATGGTTTTCAGTGTGTTTTGCCACTTTCTTATTTTATTTGGATTTCATGAGATGGCACAGTAAGAGTAACCAATGAATGAAGTGTCCAGTTGTCCTTTTACCTTCTGTCCAAGTCGGAAGCTGCAGCATAATGCAGAGCGGAGCGCCCCCACTTGTCGGTGGCATTGATTGCCGTCCCGCAAACCACCAGCGTCTCCAGACACTGATAGTGTCGGCTGGCGGCAGCATAGTGCAGGGAAGTCCTGAAGGAGACACATAAGTGGAAAATGCCCAAATATGGGTCTACTGTATGTCAACAGCGGTCGCTGGGATGTTACTCAGTAGAGCGCAGACCTCCGCCAAGGCACAACAAACTACCCAATTCAAATAACTGACATGTGCAGTTTGTGTACACCACGGTTATAATCGTTGAAAAAAAATGTTTTTGCCTTTACTATGCAGTTTTCAATTTTTTTAAAACTCTTGGTTTTATCTTTATTTCAGCCAACAAAAATATTTCCCGATTCTATTTTCTATTCTTGTTCATACAAAGCACCCCACCTGCCGCAGTTGTCTCTCCTGTTGTGGTCACCGCCACTCGTCAGGAGCAGCTTGACACACTCCACATTACTGCACTCAAATAAGAAACACCAGCATCGTATGAGGCACAAAACAACACATTTATTTGAACATTTTGAATGAACTTTTTCATTACCCTAAAGGGGAACTCAAGTGTTTTTTTGGCAATATGTTCCGTGTACTCCCACTAGTTTAAACAGATAATTCAAATTAATATTGTGTTTGTGGAATAATTATCAAGTGGATTAATCCATCCATTTTCATTCATCATAGGGGGCTGTCATTTTATCCACGACTGCCCCCCCAAAATAGTAGATAGTTGGAGCCCTAAGCAATTTGATGTAAATTTCAGTCGACAGCACAGGGCGGTATCGTGTCTAAATGTCAGCCCCCTGAGATGGATGAAAAAATGGGGTCACATAAAACCTGTTATTGCAAAGATGGGCAAACAGCGTGTTTCGCTGGTTCACTCAAACATGTAAAAGGCCTAAAATAATAATATGGCAATGTACTGTAAAGAGTTACAAGTTTGTGCTATATTAGCTGCAGATTATTTTAATTATATTTTTCATTCAAATTTAAAGACATTTAAAATATCTTTTGGGGTTTTTTTTTACGCATATCTGTAGCGGACACGTTTCACTTTGAAATGTGCATGCAAAGAAAAATATCTCATGGGCACTGGGACCAAAAGTATAAATCCAACCTTGCTTCGTTTTTCAATTCATTTGTGTTCTGTTGGCCAACATTCCTCAAACTTTATATGAAAGTGGACATTTTCGTAACACAACCCTCACCCTCCGGCGGCGGCGGCGTGCAGGCATGTCCTTCCCTGACTGTCGGGGGTGTCAATCTGAAAGCCTGCACACAGGACCGAGTCGTTACACATTATGCTAAATCTCCGGCCTGAAGAGGGCGGCGCAGGGACACAGAAGTGAGCGGGGCAGGACAAACAGCAGCGGCCGCCACAAAGAGAGAAGGACAGGAAGCGGTAGTGAAAGGGACAGGAAGGGGTGGGACAAACAGAGACAGAGAAGGAGAGACAGGAATTAGTGAGACAGGTGGTAAGGAAACGGGTTAGGTGAGAGTGCATTCGGGTGCAGGATCACTTAACTAAGCACAAACACAGAAAGATAACAGAAAAAAGACAAAAATGCTAACAGTTAGCCTCCATTCTATCCATCTACCCATCCAGCCATCCATTTTCGAATTTAAAGAACAAAATGTTCAGGATTTGTGAGCTACTGTGGTAAATTTGTATGATTTCAATGTATTCCATGATGGGGGTGGGGTCTCTCTCTGTCTCGCTCTATCCCTCTCCCTCTCCCTCACATGTGCAGTGAGGAGGATCTTCCAACTCTCACTGGAGGTGTCAAGTTCTAAAAAGTTGGTTTCTTGTGCGGAAAATATTTAGTAGAACGAGTTCAAGTCCTATTTTTTTCCAGAAAATATTTTCACTCTATGTCTGAATTAGTTTGGGATGTAAATATTCCCAAAGGGTTGTAGCCAACGTGTCATATGTATATTGGAAAATGAAAAAAAAAATCTCTATCTGCTGGGATTAAAAAACAGATGGCAGAAATAACGACCGTTAGAACCTCTCTGACTGCTCTCAATATGTAGTGTTGTTTTTCTCAGTTGGGCTTAGAAACCGAAATATTTTGGAACAACGCAATTTCCAAAGGCACGCTGTTATCTTGTAAAGTATCCAAAAACCGCTTGCTCTTGAGACAGCTGTGACGTTTTTTTTAACCATGGAAAATTTGAGAGCCTCACAAGCGCAAAATAAAATTTAAAGCGATAGAACTGGAAATGTTAACGGAAGTAAATTACTGAGCAGCAGAATAGAAATTGTGCATTCTGATCATTTTTGGGAAAGTCAGCAATTGCGCGAAAGCCATGTTTTGTCTGATTTAACTTGTCCCAAGTGCATGAATGTTGACTGTATGTGCTCAGTCTGCGTAACACTGCGGTCAAAAACTGCTCTGGGAGAGGGAGACAATTGTTACAGTGTGCTGAAATCAGAAGCGCAAGAAAAACACAGACCTGAAAGGAGTGTTGTCATTGGTGATCTAGCATGACTCCCAATTGTGATTGTCTATAATCAGACTTTCATCGTTCAGAAGCTCCCGAATTGCCTTGTCAAATAGATGACATGCGGTGACAATTTTTGTTTCTGGCATTTCAAAAGTTGACCCAGGTTTTGCCTGGGCCTCCTTGTCATGGTGGCGCAGAGCAGTGCCGTTTGCGCCTACCTCTCGTGCTATTTACAAATGAAAATTCAGCATTCTCCTTTCATCTTAGGTTCATTAAATTATGTTGTACATGCTAAATTCATCTACACGATTTGTATCTACGCCTCTCAGAATCTGTAAAATGAACAGCACAACTATTTGGTGCAATCCAAGGTGCGCCCTGTAATCAATTGTGCTTGTTTTCGCTCATGCCTTTAGTAAATCAGCCCTTTTTCTATACATCCATTTAAATTAACCCTTTCAGTTACAGCGGTTACTACAGTGAACAGCTTATTCATGTTATTAGGTTATCATTATTGGTGCATGCGAGGGTTAAAACAATGCCACAACAGCAGCCAATGTCACAACTCAAGTCACATGACAAAACGTCCCACATATTACCTGAGGATAGCAACTTGCGGCAGCAGTCCGAGTGAGCGTTCAAGGCAGCCATGTGCAGGGGGAACATGCCGTGGACGCCTCGCCTTTCGGGAAACGGACGGACGTCAGTGAGGTACGTTTCACCTTGGTGCAATTGTTGCTTTTTGTCAGCGGGAACGATGCAATACCTGGTACAGTCGGCTCCGCTGGTAATGAGCGTGTTGATAAGCAGCTCGTGGCCATAGCGAGCAGCGACGTGCAGCGGCGTGTTGCCGTCCTTGTCCACGCTGTCGATCTCTCCGCCTGACACACAACGCCTGACGTTAGCGAAGATCCAAGTGCACACTTGAAAGGCTTGGAATGAACCCCGATTTGCCTGAGGGTGTAGTTTTCTCTGTTTGCATGTGTTGTTGCTCCATGCGCGTTAAGCACTTGCTCCAACGATTATAATTATTGTGACGTGTATGCTGATATTAGGCAAGCTATACTGTTTTCGCATTATGCACTGATGGAGTTTTGTTCGTCTGCAAAACATGCATGGCAGGCTGATTGAACACTCTAAATTGGCCCCAGATGTGAGTGTGTGTACAAATGGTTGTTCGTCTAAGTGTGCCCTGCGATTGGCTGGCAACCAGTTCAGGGTGTCCCCCGCCTACTGCTCGAAGACTGCTGGGATAGGCTCCAGCATGCCCCGCGACCCATGTGAGGATAAAGTGGATCAGAAAATGGATGGATGGATGAATGGATGCATGTAAATTATGGTATTGCATAATTTTTGCCCTCTAAAATTCACAGTACTGGTACAACACTGAAGAAAGAGAAAACAACTTTTGGACCAGGTTGATACATCAAGCACTGTCACAAAAATTTGAACCCAATCCAAATTAAAATAAAACCTGTGCTCTGAAAAAAAAACATATCAAGCGGACGACTCACCATTCTGGATGAGAGTCTGAGAGCGAGTAAAGCGACCATGCACTGCTGTCATGTGGAGAGGACTCTTCCCGTCTCGACTCTGCAGCAAGGAAAGAATCCCGTCATGAAAAATATCCACAGGTCAAAAATAATTATGTGAGAAAAAAAAAATGAAGAAAAAAAAATCTGTTCTACTTTAGCATGCGCCTGTGAGAAATCCGTAATGTGTGTTGTCTGTAAAATATCAATCCAGATATTTTTTGGCGATGGGTTGCTTTTTTATTCCTATTATACTCCACATATGTTTGACCAACTTTAAGAGTAATCCACATCTCTGCACAGTAATTGGAAAAGAAATGGGACGAAAAAAAAAGTTGCTTTTCCGTCATACCTGCACGTTGACGTCGGCGCCGTTGTTAACTAGAAATTCCAGACAGAGGGCTCCGTGCGTTGAAGCTGCCGCAAAGTGCAGCGGCGTGAAGCCTTTGTTGTTAGGCTGGCTGACGTTGGCGCCGTAGTCGATGAGCTCGCTGACGACAGCGTCCTGGCCGTTGAAACACGCCACATGCAGCGGCGTGTTGCCGAAGGCATTGGACTCATCGATCTGTCCCCAACAAAAGAAATAAAGATGATTTCAGCCGACCTGATGATAAGAAATGACGAAATAGAAGGTCAGTACCTCCACAGCGAGGTTGAGCAGATGCTTCACCACTGCCATCTGTCCACTAGATGCCGCCGTGTGCAGGGGCGTGTACCCTCGTTTGTCCTTACAGCAGAGCTCCGCCCCCTGACTCACCAACAGAGACACCACATCCAAATGACCTGCAGGGGAACACAACACATAAATAATCCATGCATCCATCCATTTTCTGATCCGCTTTATCCTCACAAGGGTCGCGGGGCGTGCTGGAGACTATTCCAGCTGTCTTCGGGGAGTAGGCGGGGGACACCCTGAACCGGTTGCCAGCCAATCGCAGGACACACAGAGACGAACAACCATCCATGCTCACACTCACACTGAGGGCCAATTTAGAGTGTTTAATCAGCCTGCCATGCATGTTTTTGGAACGTGGGAGGAAACCGGTACCTCTGCACTGTGAGGTCGACCCGCTAACCACTCTAGTCTTCTGGCCTCAACACTACCAAAAGCCGACAATTACAACCTAAATTCTTCGCTTCGAACCGGGCAGAGGAAGTTCTCCTCATCCTCCGACAGAAAAAAAGTAACTCTGAACATCACTGTGACCTGTGGTAGTGTTGTCTACTGAATCTCGATTCCCATTCTCCAAGTTTACTCATTTGTTAGGTCGTCCTGGGCAGTGCAGGAAGCTGGCTGTGTTTTATATCTTTTGGTCTCACAGACCACAATCATTAACCCATTTTGCTTTTGTGTCACAACACTGTGTGTATGTGTTTTGTTCTGTTTTTTGTTTTTTTTTTAACTCTATTTCGTTGTGCGTCTTGTTATGCTTGTTGTGTTTCTCCATGCTTTTGTCACTGTAGCCTACTATGCCGTCAAAAAAAATAAAACATCTCCGCCTGTGTCAGCATGACGTGCGCACACTCACATTCGACAACGGGGCGCTCTAAAGCAGCCAGGCCAACGCACTAGCCAATAGAAGATGCATTTTCAGGCTGTAGGCATAGCTAGCTTGCTAATGGAACTTAACAATTGTGCCAGATAACTGCTGGTGTGAAACAAGGAGCTCAAATTTTTATATAGTGGGAGAGGGGAGACTCATGCTGGGGCTTAAGTGCATTACTAGACCAATTTTAGCAAGCAGCAAAAATTAGAAAAAATTAAATGGTAAAAAACAGTTTAATGCTATATCTCCACAAGTGAGTACAACATAGTCCTCAGTCTTTGCACATTTTCAGCAATTATCTCAAAAAACGTATAATGTAATGAGAAACAAATCTCGAAAGGAACTTTAATGTTTTGAGCAGTGTAATGTCTTACCCATAAAGGCTGCCCAGTGCAGCGCTCGCCCATCCTTCTTGTCAAAAGCGTTGATGTTGGCTCCTTTGGCAAGGAGGAGATTCACCATCTGAAACACAGACACGCACGCACACAGCCACACGCACACACATTCTGATTGTAGTGGAACCTCAAGTTATTAACTTAATTGGTGAGTCTGTGATCCCGTTTGTAACCTCAAATGCTCATAAATCAAGATCATGTTTTCCTTTGAAATGAATGGAAATGCAATTAATCCATTCCAGCCCAAAACTCAGTGATAGATACAGATTTTTAACCAATATATTTTAATATAAATGTCCACATTTTCAGTCCCCAAAAAAATCATAAAGTGGGACCTCACGTAATCATTTAAAAGATACGTTTTTTTTTTTAATTTTGTCCATTTTTTAAAATAATTTTTTGAGTGCTTGATCATGGTGTCACCAGTGAGCGTTTTCAATTGACAGAAGGCTGCTTCTGCCATCTGTAAGTGGGTGAATGTATTATATGTAGGCAGAACTTCCAACTCGCAACAACATGCGTGGACTGCTATTTTGACATGATTATACCAAAAGTAACCATTCGTTGCTTAATTAGAGAAACACTACAATGTAAAAAATAAGATACATCCTTTTGTAGAAAGTACAGTGTGTGAACCTAGTGATTTGTTGGCTATTCTGTCTTAAAATTGATGAAATGCATAAATATGTGTGCTGAAGGCTGCCCTGGGTGCATTTGAATGGCTGAAGAACAAAACCAGATCAAGTGTGTAGTACCTCCATGTGGCCATTGAGGGCAGCGTGGTGCAAAGCGGTGCGTCCACCGCGGTCCGACACGTTCACACTGCTTAACATCGGGATAATGATCTCGGCGCAGCGCAGAGCGTTGTTGGCAGCGGCCACATGGAGCGGCGTCTGCCAGTTCTTGTCGCGGGCGTTGACGTCGGCCGAGTGGCGGATCAACACTCGCACTGCTTCCTGCAGGGAAAACGCGAGTACTGTATGTTATTCATTTTTTTCAAATTGAAAGACACTTATATGATTGTAATAATAGAGTGCCTTTCTTGGATGTTACTGTTCAATTTTTGGGAAATTTACAAATCATTTTGAATATGGTACCCGGATCTGATCCAGATTGTGAATTTTGATACCGTATTTATATATTTAGGCGGCCTGGCGAACTATCTCGAAACAGCTCTGATCGCAAGCTGCAATTGTAGACTGCTGACCGCTAACAACTTCCGATGATGCAGGTCACGCGCCACCGTAGGTTAAAGGTGACATGACAAGTTTTTGTGTAAGTGAAAATGATAGGATGCTTCAGGTGCAATGAACATTCACTGTAATTATGATACGATGGTTCTGAAGATGCGTGACGTCAACCGTTACTCCCCAAGCTTGTATGTATGTTTGCATGTATAATCTCATTAGTCATGTAGTCATTCAGTCATGTATTTAATTTTATTTAAGTATTTAAGTATTGGTGGAGGACTGCGCTCTCTTTCCTAAATAAAATAGTTATGTCCCATGTCACGTTGTAGTGACATTCACCTTGTGAGCACAGATAAAGTTGTCTGCCACATCAGATAAGCTAACATAAGAATGTGAAAAAACAAAAAAAAAATAATTGAATGCTTGGTGCAACGTGTCATTTAAACAAAGGTTGCCACGAAGACCAAAGTAGGTTAGGCCAGGGTGACATATTTGTCACATTCCGGCCTTGTTCCCGAGTCACTCACACTGAAAACAAAAAGACCTGAAAACCTGCATTTTTATGTTGGCCACAAGGGGGCGACGTGGGTGGTTGTAATTCGAACCTGATCTCAATTCGAATCATGAGTAGGCTAAATCGATATTTCTTCAATACAACAACAACTACTACTACAAAAATCTGTTTCACGCATTATGGTTACCTACTTTTATATGACTCGAGTTGAATTGCATAAGGTTTTGGTTGTGCGCAACTTCACACCTTGTTAACATATTTGAGGAAATAATAAATAAATCATTGAGGAAACGGAAAAACTGGAGTGAATTTAAAAAATGTCTGAAACCCCTTTTTTTAGTGGAGACATGAAGAGCAATGGAAAGAGGCACATGCCAAATACAAGCCTCAACCCAGCTGAGTGAGGGACTGCGCAATCTGAGCTCGACGCTGCTCGCCAATGTATTTGAATAGGAAATATGCAAATTCAGCAATTTTGACAAGGAAGCGTCGACATTACTGAAATCAAACAGAAAACCAATATAGAGCAGGAACATGGGAAGACCAGTTTTAATTGAATCATTATTTACTTATTTGGAGCTATTCATGACACAAATAAGGCCTCCTTTAGCGCGGCGTGCCTTGTTGTACGCACCAAACATCAAACGATAGTGCACATCACCTATACACTAGTCTATGCGTGGGGTTAATTAGCTTTGTCAATATACTGTCATTGATTCAGACACCGGCCTGAACTGGTTGCACCGGTTCCTCAATTCACCTGTGCACCGCAGTGCATTGCTTGGAGGGGTCGAGGCCTCCAAGCGTTTTGTGTGTGTGTGTGTGTGTGTGTGTGTGTGTGTGTATGGGGGGATGGTTACCTCGCTGCGTGATGCCACGGCGCGATGCAGCGGGGTGAGCCACATGTTGTCCTTGGCGTTGACACGGGCGCCTGCACATATGGGGGAAAGAGGTGACGGGTGAACGTGAGGTGGAGGTGAAGGGTGAGAGAACTGTGCGTTCGTACCGGAAAGAATGAGGAGTTCAGTGATTTCGGCATCGCGAAGGAAAGCCGCCGCGTGAAGCGGAGTGCGCTTCTCAGCATCCTGGAGACCCGCAAGGCAGAATCATCAACACACTATGACACTGATTTTTATGAATGATTTCTAGTATTTAATTAAGGGTACAGCATTAGGAGTTCAGCAAAACTTGCACTTTTTCTGCTGCCACAGCACACTGCATATACATCACACAAGAATGGCAGAACACCCACAAAAAGCAACGGACAGAAGTGACAGCCGTGTTGATGGATGTTCATTTCTCTGGCCCCGTAGCTGCGGGGATAAACTTTTTTTTTCTTTTTAAACAAATAAAATGTGAAACATGAACATTTCAATGACGTTGAATTTTTGGAAGGGTTTCCCCTAACCCGTTACCAAAAAAGTGACAGCACACAATTGCGCCAAATGAAGAGATCTAGTTCAACCTAGTTAATTGATAAAGCGCAGACCGTTAAGTGTCCTCACCAGAGCGTTGATGTCTTCAGACTTGTATATGAGCATTCGGATCTCCTCTGGATCTCCGCTGAAGATGGCCTGGATGAGAGGAGGCTGCGGAGATGACAAACAATGAACATATCGTGACATGCGCACACGTTCATGTGAACGACAAAAGAGAGTGCGACGACATTAGTGAAACCACAAATTGTGCTGTGTGACCTTCCAGGACGCGACGACATTAGTGAAACCACAAATTGTGCTGTGTGTGACCTTCCAAGGACATCGAAAATGTCCTTCGCAGATACAACAGATAGCTTGTCATGACGGGAATATTTGCAATGAGACACATTTTTGTCAATCCCAATCGTGCGCGTGTACATTGGTGCGTGCGTGTCACGGGGGCCCTTTGTCCCTGAAGCCCTTATTTTCGTTCCTGGATGTCAGATATGAAGTAAATAGTGGCTGTTAGCACTGCAATGGTCTTTTGTGTCATTTTCAGCATGTTTTTGACACGCATATACTGGAAGTCATTGGGCAAGTTACCAAATTGGAACCTTCATCAGGCATGATCTCAGCAAATCTTGTGAGACTTTGACTCAAAAAGATTGTGAGCTGTGTTTTGCTTTTTCGGTTAGTTTTTCATCAGGTACCATGAAAGTTAATAAGTCTTGAAAGAGTCTGACTGCTCAGTAAAGATGAGCAAACCAACTACGTCATAAATATTACAAGGCTTTTAATTCCAGCAATACTTCCTGTATATAATGCCACGAAGGTAACGTATCTTTTCGCAAACACCTTTTTCTTCACTTTCCACTGCAAAGGTAAGGAGTTTTTCAACAATTTAATTTTATCATGCACTGTTGTTGTTTTTTTTGTTTGTTTGTTTTTGCAATTGTAGGAAAGTTAAACGAATATTTTATAATTGTTGTTAAAATATTGCCTTCTGATGTCTGTTAATAAAGTCTTTAAGATGGCTACAGTGACTCTGAAATTGAATATTTGATGCATTTATTTTATTTACCGGTATTTATTTCCTATGAGAGAAATTGTTTAGAAATAACTATGAAGTCAACCAGCAATTGTGCTCCACTTCCACTGCGTTATGATTAGGGCCAATTAAACAGTTGGCGAATTTAACTCTTTCATGCACCCTGTAACCTGATAACATCATAAGGTGTCCGCTGTAGTAACCGCTGTGGTAACCCAATGGGTTAATCAGCCAATATTAGCTCTTTTAAAAATCTATTTTTTTAATGTATAAATAATGAATATACTGTACCGGTATCTATCGGCACAAATCAACAGAAACATGTTTTACCTTTTTTTGGGGTGGTGGTGGTGGTGGTGGTGGGAGGGTCACATTAGAACATACCGTAAGTCAAAGATAATGTCATTCCAACATTGCACCCCCCCAAAAAAAATAAATAAATAAAAATCGGCGGCAAAAAAGTCAGACGATTTTTCCCTTTGTTGTAATGTTGAACAAATACGAACGACAAAGTATTTTAACACAGTTTAATGTTCTTCCCGTAATGCATATATTTATTGTTGCAAGCGCTGAGGGATCAAGACGGATGGAAACCTATTGATTTTTTTTTGTTTTTAATCAGCCGATTGAGGGCGGACCGGTGATCCAGTGGTTAGCGCGTCGAACTCATAGTGCAGAGGCCGTGGGTTCGATCCCAGTTCCGGTCTTCCTGTGTGGAGTTTGCATGTTCTCCCCGGGCCTGCGTGGGTTTCCTCCGGGTACTCCGGTTTCGTCCCACATTCCAAAAACATGCATGGTAGGCTGATTGAACACTCTAAATTGTCCCTAGGTATGAGTGTGAGCGCGGATGGTTGTTCGTCTCTGTGTGCCCTGCGATTGGCTGGCAACCGGTTCAGGGTGTCCCCCGCCCGCTGCCCGAATCCGGCTGGGATAGGCTCCAGCACCCCCCCACCCCGACCCTTGTGAGGATAAAGCGGATCGGAAAATGGATGGATGGATGGAAACAGCCGATTAAACGGTTAGTGGAATTTTATTTTTATTTTTTTGCCAAATATTGGAATTGGCATCGGCCTTATTCGTTAGGCCCTAATTATTATTGAACAAAAAAAAAGTATAGTAATATACTAATATACCCACTCATTGAAACACTTATTAAAAGTATTTTAATGATTGGCTAATAAAAGGGTTATATTTTTGTAAGCCGATTTTTAAAAGGGGGTTTCTGAATTTCTTTTTAAGCTATTTAAAAAATATATTTATGGAGTAAAATCCACATTTCTACATTGTACTTTTTATAAATCTTGAATAATAATAATAATAATAATAATAACAATAATAATACAAAATACTACCCGACTCTATATCTATATCTATATCTGTGAATATTTATACATACAGAATGTAACATTCTTTTTTTCACGAATTCACAAATCTTTCAAAAATGTTAACCCTCTAAAAATCTGGCCTATCTCCAACTTAAACATGTTTTTATTGCTATTTGAAACATTATTTATATTTGGTCTTCAAAGGTTGCATTTGTTTGTTGGAATTGCATTGGCGGACCACAGCAGCTCTGGCATATCAAGAAAGAGTCTTTCGCCTTGACAATATTAAATGCTGAATCCCTGCAAGTGCATATTAACTCATAACCCAAATGAATGTTGACTCCTGACCTGAAGGCAACAAATACAGTATAATCTTGCAGCCAAAGTGTATTTCCTGCCTTACTTCCTGTTCGCTCACCCCGTCCTTCTGAGAAACGAAAGAGAGGAAGCGCGGCGGAGCGTTTCACTTCTGCATTCAAACGCAACAACAAACCACTTCCTCTTCTTCTCACCTTGTTCTACGCTGCCGTTCCCCGTTGCCACAGCCATCATCATCATCGTCATCATTATCGTCATGTGACATTGCTTTACGTTTGCCGAATCACACTGCACTCTATAAGAGCTCTCCATCCACCCGGTTTCTGTAGCACTTATCCTCACTTGAGTCTGTCCCAACTGACTTTGTGCGGAACAAGAAAACTTCATACAGATTTGAACCGAGATCCTCAAGACTGGGAGGCAGATGTGCCAACCGCTACTTTATGGTGCTGTCTTCCAAAAGTTATACAAATCTTAAAATGTCAACATGCATGCAAACACTGAGATGGTTGCGCAGCTCACACAGTCTGGCCCATTTGGGGTCATAAAACAAAGCGTCTCGTCCACATTTCTTCAAAGGCTCCGAGGAAGGGCCTAGCTGGCTCATGAATTTTTTTTCTCCCCTCGGGGTCAACAACACACTTGTGTTGGCCCTCCTCTCTCCACAGCTCCCGGGCCAATGACTTCCTGAGCTTCCTGCTATAGCCCCGATTATGAGAAAATGCTGGCACAAACCATTGACCCTGACTTTTTAAATGTGGATCATCATATTGCAATGGAAGGAATCTCTGTCAATCCACCAATAAAACCGCAGAAAAATCTCTCCAGCTGAGGAATCCCGTTATCAGACACTGCAACTTTGTCTTGTAAAAAAACAGGAAGTCCCACAGCTTGGAGTTACGTAAAAGAAGAAGAAAAAAAAATCAAGTTATTCCTGCCCGGCTGCAGAAGGATGACACTACACCACGTCAGGAATTTCTGCTATCGTGAAAACACGAGCCTGAAGCCTTTGGGAATGACACACAGCAGCCACTTCATTAGGTACACTTGCACCGTAAGAGTGATCTTTCTATTCATCTGTATTTCTAATCATTTTTATTTTTATGTATAAGCCATTGTTTATTTTGCATCATTTGTAGTTATTAGTATCTGGTTGCCCAAATACTTTTTGCTGATTCTTAAAGTTTTTTTTTTAATCTGACAATCCAAATACTTTTGCTCAAACTTGGAGGCCATTGCTTTTTTATTGAATGTATTATTATCATCATTCTGTTTTTTTCATTTGTCCAAATAGAGCGACACGTGGTTAGCTGGTTAGCACGTCTCCCTCACAGTGCAGAAGTGCAGGGTTCGATTCCGGCCCAGGCCTTCCCGTTTGGAGGTTTGCATATTCTTCCTGTGCCTGCGTGGGTTTTTCGGTTTCCTCCCACATTCTAAAAACATCCCCTGGTTTTCTCCGGGTATTTCGGTTTCCTCCCACATTCTAAAAACATCAATGATTGTGAGCGTGAATGGTTGTTCGTTTATGTGTGCCCTGCAATTGGCTGGCAACCAGTTCAGGGTGTACCCCGCCGACTGCCCGAAGTCAGCTGGGCTCCAGCATGCCTGGGACCCTCATAAGGATTAAGAGGTTTTAAATAATGGATGGATAATTTGTCCAAATAATGTTGCTCATACTTCAATTTTATTTATCTGGAGCATCTGTAGCAATATGTTGCCTATTAATACAATAATTGTTGCACATCAGATTAGGATTGTAAAAAATACTTGTATTACAGGTATTGTAACATTATGATTCCACTACTTCGGGGGGGGGGATTCAAAACGGGGCGACTGTCATGCAGCAAGCCATTTGTCGATGATCATAGTGATCAGAGAGGAAAAAAATGCTGAAATATCTGGAAGTACAATGATAACCACATTGGAAATGCTATTAAAAAGTGTGGGTGTAGCTAATTACATAGGCAGTGGACATATGTCGTATATATGGAGGTGGAAAAAGAAAGGGCTGTGTGCTGCATAAGCCAGGCTTTGGTTAGTACATTTCTTTTAGGCGAGCCGGATATACTCACTCGGCTTAGGGGGCGAAAAAAAAAATCTGTGTCAGCAGATATTTAACAAATCTAGAGGAGACTTGAAGAAACCAATTTGACGAAGCTCATTCCCAAACCTGTTGTGCAATGTTTGGGGGGTTTCAAGCTTCTGTTCTGGAGTGCAAAATAATGTTCGAAAGATGTTGGGGTTTTTTTTTGTTGTTTTGTTTTTTTGGGGGTTTTTTGGAGGGGTGCGGGGGGTCTTAAGGTGCTTAAGTACTTATAAGTGCTAAAGAGAATCATGTGATGAGGTGAAAACAAACCTCGCACACATCTCTGTACATTTACTGAGCGTATTACGGATTCACACTTATGCTATTAGGCAGTAAGAAGTTCGTATTTCCACAATTGTAATCGTTTTTTTTCTGTATTTAACGGGGGGGGGGGGCATTTGAACATGCATTTCAGATGAAAGGAAACAGGGCTGAATCATTGAATTCAAATGGACATCGCAGTGCAGTGGAATGCAATTTTCAAATCACAAAGGCTGCAATTTTGGACACACTGCTTCATTTTATTGATTTATTTATCGAAATAGCGTCTAGATAAGTTCAGTGCTTAGTAGATAAATGAACGGTCTTTCATATTAATTACCCTAAAAGACCAACACATTTACGTCCACAGGTGTGATTGTGAACGAGCACGATTGTCCGTGTGTGTGCCCTGCGACTGGCTAGCGAACATTTTAAGGTGTACCCCCGTTTACCGCCAAAAGTCCAGCACAAGTGTGACCCTTGTGAGGCTAAGTGGTACGGATAATGGATGGATGAAATACAGATTAATTTATTGCATCATAAATCACAAGTGGAATATTGAATATTCAACCCTAAAAGGAACTATCTCGCAAAAATGTTGGGGGATCCTGTCAATGCTTTTAATTGTATGGCAACAGACACAAATTATTACAGGCTAAAGGCCTTTGCAACAATGCCTCACAGCAAACCTTTAGTTAGTGTGGGATTGGTCAGATTATTACAACAAATTCATGAATAACAATTCATTTGAATCAAGAAGTCATGCGCATTTACTAAGTGTCCAATCAGATTGCTTATTGATCTCTTCCTGACACTGCCCACAGCCTCTAGCGCAGTGGTTCTTAACCTTGTTCAAGGTACTGAACCCAACCAGTTCATATGCACATTCAGCGAACCCTTCATTAGTGAAAAATAAAAATATGATTTTTTTTTTTTTTTTTTACAAATGCATTCATTCAAAACAGAAAAAAGTCAACACAATTAGTAGAAGAATAAAGTACACGTTTTTTAATTGTGCACAAAATGAACCAGCCAGTGATGGCCAAGCGGGTGTGTCATAACGACCGGTAATTGACATGTTGAGTCCAGTGGTCTTAACCTCCATGGCAGAGACTGTCGAACCCCTTGAGACTGATTCACTGAACCCCTATGGTTCGATCGAACCCAGGTTAAGAACCACTGCTCTAGAGGCACATTTGCATTGTATAAGGGACTGCTATATGTGGTCATCTACAAACAAGTGTTCTAGTCCTACTTCAAGAAACTGTAGGAAAACATTTTTGATCATTGTTCAGCAGGTGCATTGTCCACTTAATGAAATGTTTTCTCCTCTGGAAAATCATGAAGGAAAACTGTCATTATTTTATTTGCTGTAGGCTTTTTAGTATACTGTAATACATGTGATTTTTCAATGGAGATTTGTATAATATATTTTATTTCTGTAAAACGTTGTTATGAAGGACAATATATAGTAAAGAATTTTGTAACACAAATGTATTAGTTAAATAAACGTCTCTCCCAATAATAAACACTGTACCCTTTATAGATAGAGCAGTTGCGCAGACATTCCAACAAAATTTAGATATTTTTAAGAATTGTTTTGAGACAGTCTGAATATTCAGCTAAACAATTTTACGTGTTATAAGAAAAGGGGATTATTGAAGTCAGGGGGTTGTTTAGATGTTTCAGTATTAATGTGGTTCTTAATGGACTTCATTAAAGAAGTCCATGGACAATTAAGGACATAAACGCCTCCACTTCCTAGTCCCCCTTCTTGTAATTCGGTTGCAGAATGCTGGTTAAATGTGACATTAGTCGTTTTTTCCGCCGCAACCGTGAAGCGCCGAATTGTTCGAAATACAAATGTGATTCTAATTGTATTGCGGTTGCGTGTGAAAGGGAAGCGCGGAGCTCGCGAGATGCGGGCATGCTAAAGCTAGCGGCGGCTAGCGGCTCTACCTGGTCGGCCAGTTTGAGAACAGCCATCACTGCCGAGGCTACGGCGGCTCATCCAAAGCCTTCAGACAGCGCTGCTACCTCGGGGCGATGCCGGCTGCGAGGACCGCTCCTCCTCCTCCTCCTCCTCCTCCCACCTCCTAGTCCTCCTCCTTCTCCTCTCCGCGACCGAACCGTCTCCCGGGTTGACGGTGATGGGAAAAGGCCGACCCGGTGCAAGCCACCGCCGAGGCCCGGCGTCGGCAACCCCCGAAACTCTCGCTCGCTCCACCAGGCAGGCAGCAACCGGGAACAATCCTCATGGAGGGCGGAGGGCTCGAGAGTGTGTGTGTCCGGAGAGCCTCGCTCCTCCCCGGCGTGCAGGAGCCTCAAGGCGGTCAGGCGAGTCGAGTCGAGGCGGAGGAAGTTGGAGGTTGTCTCTTGCTTCCTCTGTACATTGTAAGAGGGGCTCCCTCAGCATCAACAAACCTACAGCACGCGCGCGTGCACTATAACAAACACGCGTACACAAACGCACGCACTTCTCGCTGCTGCCATCAACCGGCAAGAAAGCGAACCCAATACAGTGAACAGTGGCCACTTTATTAGGTACAGTGCCCCCCCCCCCCCACACACACACACACATACTCGCGGTTCGGCACTATTAACGGACTCTAAAAAAAACAATTTCCAATATTTATCTTTTTTTTGGAATGTTTTACTGGGGAAACAACCCCCGTTTTTCGTCGAAAACGCACTGGATGTTTATCCGCTTTTTATGAATGATTTTTTTTGGGGGAGAGGTAATTCTTTTTCAAGCGTTTCAAGAGTCACAGATATTCTTTACTTCACTAATAGATGTTCTGTGTGCTTTTAATTGCATGCAAGGAAAAATCAATGACAATAGTAGAAACAACTCTGCTTCAGTTGTAAAGCCACAAGTTTAATTAATCAAATCCAACATTACATTTGTTCCGATAGGGGATCTTTTTTTAATGTAGATTTAAATTCTACTTTACGATCAGATGCTCTATCTTAAGCTCTATCTTTAATGTGCCTTTTTAATGTATCCAAGTGTGCTTCGTACAGAGGCCCAGTGAGTGAGCGTAAATATTGATGACTTACCAACCTCCTCTTGTATCCATAACTGACCATGTTTATATTTTGGCAATGCAACAACCAAAAATGTGCAATGTAATGTAGCTACTAGTCATAAACAGCTGTAATAACTAAATGCTCACATTGCGAAAGAAGATACCTTATACAGTATAGGCAATCCTTAACATAATGCGAGCAGAGTTGAGTGCAGTGCAGAGCATCATAATGAGAACTGTTTCAAAAATGTTCATTCAGTGATATGAGACGGTTAAAAGTGACAATCAAAACTGAGCACTGGTATCTTTATAAAGGCAGGTTTGTCATATTAGCATTCGATTGTGTGAGTGTACCTAGTGTGGCCTGTCGGTATATGAGAGCATGCTTCCACTTGCTACAAAACAAATGAGCCTCAAAGCAAATCAAATGTTCCAAGCGTGTTATAACATGAAGTTTATCCAAGTACAGTACAGTGCACCATCTTGGCACTCGGAAGGGGACAGCGTGGAAAACAAACGCTCCTCCTCCCTTGAGCAGAATCGGATGGTGTGTGGGGTGCAGGAGGAATGTGGGTCACATTAAAAGTGAACTGGAAGAAGGGGTTGGGAGTGGGGGAGGGTCTTTTTTTTCCCCCCCTTTTGCAGTGTTAGTGATTGTTCATTCATGCATTTGCCAGTTTACACATTAAGTGTTCTGACCCAGTGCCAAATGCTGACACAAACATGGCAGTTTAAAAAATATATATACCTGTTCTGCAGAAATATCGATTTTAAAAAATTAAAAATGGTAAATGGGGTGTTGGTGCTTTCCTACCTCAGGTACTCAAAGCACTTTACAGTGTTACCTCAGCAAATGGGGGTTCACCATCTTGCTCAGACACTTTGACATGGTCGCAATGGCCGGGGATCGAAACGACCACTCTACCACGGAGATGCATAAGCCGATGCAATCCCTGCATTATTGTGCCCTTGCTGGGCTGTGTGTATAGGGAGATAAATTTCATGTCTTCTGTTTGAGCTGCGACACACCGTCATTGCAGAAACTGCGTGAAATGAAGCTGCTGAAATTTTTGAGCGGAATGAGGATTTTAACCATTATAAGTTCATTTTAACTCGCAAGAAAGAAGCTTTTGAGAGTGTGGCTTGTTGCCCGCGATGACATCATCGCTAAAGGTCGCCCGCAGAGCCCCCATTGCAGAACTTCATTCATCTGCTTGTTGTGTCTGAGCAGCATGAACTTCATGCAGCAAAGATGTCCTGATGTCCCATTCGGGTAGGCGCTATAAAGTCTTGGGATGGTTTGACTGTGGCACAGATTTCTATTAGTTTTTTTTTTAAAGCGTTCCCATGACTTTTCCTTCATGAATATATATTCCCAAGGTGCATGTGCAAACAAGTGTACAGAGACCTTTTATTTGGTTAAATAAAAACAATCAAATCGTAACAACAGAGGAGATGTGAAATGGGGGAAAAGGTACAAAGCAGGAAAGACTAATCCCAATGTCTATCAATGCATATGAAATATCCAAATATTTAAAACAATTCCAAGGATCAACTGCTTTCACTCATTTTGAACACTGATGGGGAAAAATAAAGGAGGGTGGGCGGGCGGAACATAGGAAAAGTACATACAGACTAAACGTTCTTTGCCAGATTTTATCTACTTCAATGCTCAGTTTCCACTGCAAGTGCGAGCTTCGAGGAAAAGAGAAGGTCTGATAAACTAAAATTCGAGCAGCAAATACAAGCTAAAACAAAAAAAGCAGGGGAATGAGGAGGTGGTATTTACAAGACATAGTCCAGCTCGTAGCGGATGTACATGTTCTTCTCGTCGTTGTACACTTGAGGGTAGTGGGCAATGAGGGCATCCTGGGAGCCGATATAGATGGAGTTGTAAATCTTCCAGTAGACGTCGCGCACCTTCCGTGCCGGGTGGAACAGACCCTGAAACCATAGGACACGAGAGAAGGCTTGATTTTTCTTGATCGACAGGATCTAAGGATTAGCTAGTCAGGAATGAGGAATTTGATAAACATAGTTAGATAAGATCATGTTTAGTAGGCACAGTCAAATAAGAACAGCGGCCGTGACAAATCCGCCTTTGTCAGGGTCGTATAAAAGGTGTTGTAGTTCGAGCGTCGCTTCACCCCTTTCAAACTGCCCGTAATTTTTGCCCGGCCTTTTGTTCTGTCACGGGGAATGTGGGGGAACAAAGAAGACTTGGCCATATTTAAACAGGGGAGGTAACATCAGACAGCGGCGTTGACGTCATCTTGTTAGATCGCAAAATGCCATGTTGGAGGCAGATAGCGCTGTGCACAACTGAGAATATATTCTGCTTTGTTGGGATCCATGTCAAAGGTTCTGATGCCTCTATTTTGAGGAATCTGTGGAAAAGAGGCTCATACATTTAAATCCCACCCCAATTTAAATCCTTGGATACTATATTGCAGTTTATCATTTGCGCACTCATTATATCGCAGATATGTGGGTTTTGACACAGTATAGTCAAGTGTGAATATCTGGTTGCGCGCCCCTAGTGCAGTACCATGTTGTGCCACAACTTGCCAGGCAGCACTGCACTTAATTGAAAGAGATGTAGGGCAATTAATGGCAAGTGGAGGCAGAGAAGGTCCCCAACTAATACTATAGTTTCAATACTCCTTGTTCTCTCACAAATCAGAGAATGCTTGCCAATGACTATTGTTGTATGTGTTGCTGCTCTATATATATGTTAAGTAGGTCTCTGAAGGTTTAGAATCCCTGTAAATCTGATCTTATGTCGCCAGTCTGTAGCTTTTCACATCATATGTTAGCATTAGGCTAGCCAATGTCTCACTAGGGTGGTCTTAAAAAACAAAATTGCACGGTTACGGTGAACATTTTGGTGTTTAAATATATAATGCTTTAGTCCGTTTTTGTTTTGTGTGTCAATTAAACTGTAAACTTCAACTAACAGTGACAAAAACAGCTTGAAGCAAGCGCACTTTGTGTGATTGAATACATTGAAATGTGTTTATTTCATGTGAGAGGAGTCAACCCCCCCCTTTTTTTTAAATATGGCATCTTGGCCTATGACAGCTAAGTCTGGAACATAAATGGGGGTTGACTGTAATGTCAAGCTGTTTACCTGTAAGCAGTACTGCAGCATGCGGCATGGTCCGATGGCTACCCTCAGGCCTTCCAGGGCGCCCATGACAGCCTGGATGACATGAGGCGACGTCTCAAACACGTTGGGCCACACGTAGTTGAGCAAGTGGTTGAGGGAGTCCTCGCAACCAAATCCGTAAACGCCCAGGGACATGTGCTGGACCACGGCGCTGGCAGTTTGCCTGTGGACTAGATCTCTGCAGGAATGCAGTACACAGGTTAACCCTTACAAACTGTTCACTTTCTATGTTCCAGGTCAATTTTGACCTGGCGCCAAGAAGATTCTCACAATAATTGTCTATATGTAATCTCTTTCTCCCAAAATATTCCTCGCCTATCTGACATTAATAGATGAATGATTCAGCCAAAAGGGGACGTTTTTTTCAAGTTGTACAACACTGTTTCTTAATAAAACATATAGGGGAAAAATAAGTTTACAGTAGTGTAGTATGATCATCCCTAAACAAAAACAGTCGTCTGGACTGTTTCAAGCTCCTTTTTGAACTCTGTCACATAGAAAATACACAAATGTATGGCAAGTCCAATTTAATTTGCCTTGACTTAACACACTGGCAAATCTAAGAAAAAGCTTCTAACACATGGATCAAATTTGACCCTGATTAAGGTTACTAGTTACCTGTCCATGAGCGCGTCCTCCAGGAGCGGCGTGACGGCATAGATATAGTCCTTGCCCATTTCTCCGATGTACTCGAACAGGAAAGACAGCGACTTGAGTACACCGTTCTGGACGTTGAGCTCAGGCACGCGGTACTCGTTCATGAGCGCAGGTAGGACGGTGAAGGGGGAACATGTCTCGGCCACAATGGCAATGGCCACCGTAGTGCAGACGCGGTTCTGACGCTCCTGTACTTTCAAGTTGTTGAGCAAAGTGGCCAAGACGTCGTGTGGACTAAGGAGTGGAAGGATGGCAACGCAATTAGTCAATCAAATTAGTCAAATATTTGATCATTCAGTATGTCAAGCTGTAAGAAGAGTCAAAATTGATGTGGACGTTATCTCTGAACATAGGCATGGCTAAAACGCTCTATGATGACTTTTGACATTTTGTAGCAATGAGATTCTTTTGTGTTCTTATGCAGGGACTATTACAGCTGTTTGGCTACAGTAACTGATTTTTATATCACGCATATGTATTTGCATTGCCACGGGTTACTGTTATAACAAATTGAATGCAACAAACTTAACAGAGTCAAGATTTTTAAGCAGGGTACATTTTGATGTGCACGTTGTACATTTTTTGGAAGACTTTTCGATTAGTTTTAGCAGGGAAATGGTTTTGTATTTGTTGTTATTTTGTTGATTCGGTCGTTATATTCACGTGTGATATTTATTCCCAATTTCACCATGATCAGCCATATCGCCAAGGTCTAAGGACATTCAAAGCACCTCTCAATACTGTATAGTATTTTCTATAAATTTTGTGCTTAGTTTTTTGTGTGTTTGAATACTTTGAAAATACTTTGTTTGAAAACGTGCGTTTTGTTGTGCATGCATTATTTCAATGTTTCCGTGTGGACCAAGTGAACACATTAATGACTTAACTTGTAGACACTCACCCAATAGCTTTGGCAATGTAGCCAAATGTGTTGACAGTGGCTCTGCGGATGGCCTTTTTGTGAGCCTTGAGAAGCTCCAGCAACTCAAAGCAAATCCTCATCCACTCTCTGGCTGACACATACTCGGCACCCCTGGAATAAATTTATAGAAATCACAAGATGATGTGCAATCATGTCGCCGTGGGTATTTACTTTTGGGGTACAGAATGCTAACCTGTCTGCTATCCTGCCCACCAGGTCGATGCAATTCTCCTGCACTTTCTCATGTCTGTTCTTCAAGATGGGAGTCAAACGAGGGAGCAGGTCTTTGATGGGTGGAGTCATCTTGTGCATACCTGCAAAGAGGATGAATAATAATAATGAATTTGTACATGGTATCAACAAATGAGGGGAGAAGGATTTGTTTGTTTTTTTTAAACACGAGTAACTGTGGCCAACATGTTGTGACATACCAATAACATTTACAATAGCCTTCAGTGCTCCCAAGATGCTGCCCAGTACTTCAGGGTATTCTTCACCGAGGTATTCGTACAGCACCACACCCAAGTGACCCATGAGCTTCTCCTGTAGATGTAAAATAAATGAGTAATTACTTTTTGGGACATGAACGCAATAATATCTATGAGACTTTTCAACATACCTCCTGACACGTCTTCATGACCACAGCGGTACGTGAGATGAGGTCAGCAGCCTGCTGACGCACTTTGGCCGACTTGTTGTTGAGACGCCACAGCACCGTACCGCAGATCTGAGGCAGGTAGGGCTTGACGCGCTTGCCGAGGGCGTTCACCACCGTGCCAAAGCCGTTTAGCATCACAGAATCCTGAGAAGGAAATGATATTTCCTGAGTAGATTTATATACATGTCAGCAAATACTCAATCACTGTTGCGCTGACCTCTGTGGTCTGCTCCTGGAAGGCGTACAGGATGCCGTCAATCAACTGCTCCTCCAGCTTGTGGTCGATGTCTGCGGCGCCCAAGTTGCCCATAATCTTCTCGATGGTTTCCATCACCATTTTACGATACTGCTCCGCCTCGTCTTTGAGGTCATCCACGATGCGAGAGATGATTTCTGCGGCTCCCACCTTGTTGGCCAGTTCTACTGTGGTGTCCACCAACTGTGTTGAGTGCAAAGTTTAGATTATGTTTAGCTTTAGAAAGCCGGTGGAGATAGTGAACTGCCGCATGCTGCTGGTTCAGCCCAAGTGAATTTGCAGATTTTCCTTTATTTGCTGTTTTAAGTGCCTTTCTGCTATCTTGTGGCATCAATATCCAATTGCAAATTCTTAGGGAGGGTCATTAGTTATTTGCAGATTTTCACCATTTGCAACAGGGTTCTTCCCTAAATCCAGCGAATTGTGGTGGTTTACTGTATTTAAAAAATAGATTTTATGAAAATTAGGCCTTTTGATGCTGCAGTTCGCGACACCGCCATCAAATTCATTCATTGTGTATGGGATTCAAGGGTGCAAGGATAGAATCCCTCGTCGCGTCACAGCACAACATGCAAGGTGGTCATATTGCAGCGCACCCCCAAACAAAAAAATGTTCTAATTTAGAGCGCTGTCAGGATGTCATCCAAAGATGCACCCAAAGACTGGTGGAGTGATTTCAGAGTATTATTTTTGCAGATCTGTACAGTAAATGCCATTGGGAAAATGGAGGAAGTAATAATAAATGTGGTGGTGTAGTGCTGCTCATGTCCTCCTCCTCAATTTCAGCAAATGATAAATCCATATTGCTGAGGTGCAGTCTACTTTTCATTTAGACCATCAGGGAAAGATTCCCTGCCACTTTCTGGCAGGCCACTGCGTTAGTACTTCCAAATTTGGGCAAGCTCACACCGGGTCGCTGTCGTCCTTGCACACTGCACCGTGTAAAGACCAAGACAACCAAGTGCAACGTGAAAAGGCCTTGAGGTTACTCTATCATAGCCATGCCTCAGTGCAAACGGGGCTTTAATACAACTTGATGGCTTATGTTCATGTGAGTGCCAACCTGTCTGTAGTTACGTCTGTCCAAAGCCATCCTGTGCTGCCAGAAGTGCTTGAAGAAAGGGGGCAGGATCTCAGTCTTGATGTAGTTGGCCTCCACACCATCGGTGCCACAGCACTGCTTCACCACCTACAAGATGAGACGGAGGCACTGATCAGAAGGAGTAACATTTGGCAAAACTTGAGGTTGTCCCCAACGGGTTGCAGGGTGAGAAAAGAGAGGACACATGTCGACTCTGCTAGTTCTCATGTAGGGAGTTCATCTAGCGACCTACTAGCCCCGATTCAACCACGCACCGGTAGAACAGGCGAGAATTAGTCGCACGGTAGTGTGAAATATTTTTGAGACTCTTGCCTCTTACCTTCAGAACAATCTTTTTCATTTCCTCGTCTGGTGATTGGAACTCTCTGATGAGGATAAGCATCACTTCTCGGGTATAGTAGTTTGCGTACTCGGCATCCATCAAAGGGATCAGGTAGCCAATAGCTTTGAGGAAGGCAGCCAAACCCTGCCGTCAAAAGTAGAAGACAATCATCATTAATTCAAACTTAACTCACTCACACTTATTTGTTATTCAGTGGCATGTTATCTCGGGCTGCCAGTGTAGAATTCGCTGATAGCAATAAACCCAAATAGCGCACCTTTCCTCTGTGCTGTCGGATACCCTTCCAGAGAGGCTTGAGCACTGAATCAAAGGATTCGATACCATAGGGTGTAGCGGCTTCGGCCAAGGCAGCAATGGCCAAGGCGCTGATGGTCCTCACTTTCTGTTGCTCATCCACCAGACCTGCACCCACAGCCAAAGCATTTATCAGTTAGGGAAGAAGAGCAACACTGCAGTACGTCCTGCAATAACACCAATCATGCTTTTTAACGCCACTGACCGTGCTCAATGATTTCAACCAAACTGCGCAGGTGAGGCAGGATAGCGCAGCCCATTAGGATGGCGATCTGTTGCACGATCTTGATGCCGGTGTGCCGGGCCTGCCATGACTTCTTACTTTTACACACGGCTTTGAGGAAGGGCAGCAGGGAGGGGATGCCGAGGGCAGATGCCACCACGGCGAAGGCCCTTGCAGTGGTGTTTCTCACGTACTCATCCATGTTGTCGATGTCGGGACGCATGGTGGAGATCATGGTTGCCAATCCAGCCGCCTGGGAAGACATGGGAGGTTATGCAATCAGGAAGGCTGCAGGATCTCAATCAAAAGCATGTTTTTCACACACCCTTAACCATAAGTAATTGTTGCCTATCGCAGGCCTGAATAAATAATTCCCGGAAAAGGCAAAGTAGCTAAAGTCCTTCACTGACTGCAAAATTAGCCATTTTCCACCTATTTTATAATATCGCTCTTGCATATAAAAGTCAAGTCTCTATAAACACAAGTGGGTCTGTGTGCTTGCATTGTTTTCAACACAACAAGCAGGAAAAATTCATCTCCGATGTTCGACCAAGCCTGATTTCGGTCCATCAACATCTTTCCATAAGGAGGTAAACATCCATCCGTAAAATGCTTGATTGTATCCAGCGGAGCAGGGTGAGAACAGACGAGGCATTGAAGTCAGGCCTGCTAGCTCTCGTGCTGGTATGAATCTAGCGAACGGCTAGCCCTCATCTGACCACCGATAGGTCGAACAGGCGAGAATGGCTCGCAGGAGGCGGCGAAACGTTCCAAAATACGCTCCACGTTACCTTTGCCAAGTTGGAAATGATCTCTCTGCCTTCGACTCTGGCGTAGTAGTCCTCATCAATGAGCAAGGGCTCAATCACCACCAGGATCTTGGCACAAAAATAGATAGTTCATCACTTTTGCATAATTTACTGGGAACGCCACTTGGTGTGTGTGTGTGTGTGTGTGTGTGCTTGTGCGTGTGCGCGCGTGTCTCTCTCTACCTTGTGTACGTAGGGTCGAACAAGGTCGTCAAGTTTGTAGAGAATACGGTCGATGACTTTCACCAGCAAGTGGCGTTCTTGGTCCTCAAGGGTGGGGGACATGAGCAGTGGGAGGATCTGGTTGAACAGAGGTCCTGCTCCGAACTCGCGAGCTTTGTCTGTGATCTGACGAAGGGCCGCCTGAAACAGAGGGAGACGGGATCAAATGACTGTTTGTGTCAGGAGATGTTTTCTTCACAGATGACACGATTATTGGCGGCTACTCCGAGCAGAACATGACAGTCCACACACAGGCACCACCACTGAAAACAGCAGATGGATTTTACATAACTCATTCACACCATCCCAACATGTGGGCGGAAAGCTCGGTATTGACCCTGCAATCACTTCCTTTATGCTTTTTGCAGCTTGTCCCTGAGATTCAAGAGATGAGGGCGAGAGCAAACAAGAGGACCCAGCGGGATTTGTAAGATATCATTTAAAGTGCAAAAGTATTAACCTATTTGTGCATTTTCCGATAGAACTTAAACTCAGCTATTTGCTGAAAACTCCAGCATTAGTGTTTTGACACTCTCTGTAATGCCCCAAGATACCCCGGGATGACCCCAAACCCCTTGCTAATAGGAATGTAGCAATTTTGTCAAAGAAGCATGTTGAAATGATACAGTTTGACTGTGATATTTAGGTGGCACGTGAGTGCTTTGTTTTACTCTAAGTAAATGTCTCCAAAGTCAAGTAATCTGTCGGCCCTTTTGTTTTAAGGCTAATATTATAAAGATGAGTTTCTAACTTTGTGTTTTGAGAGCATTTTTCATTTTTGATATATTTATGGTTGAAACAATAAACACAATTATGTTTTCTCATTTTGAAATTTGAACAACATGCAAGTCAACTTGCATAACAGAATGGTTTGTGATCAACTTGGTAGGCAATTGTACAAGAACAGCACTTTTTTAGTTATCGTCCACTTCGATAGTTTGAGAAGGATGAAAGCGACAGGTACCAACCTTTCTCATGGGTGGAGTTCCATTTTTAATCTTCAGCAGCAGCTTCATGATCTTTCTTTCCTTCTGTTCTTCAGGGCTCAATGTGGACTCATCCACCTCAACCTAACACGAAGACACATTCGGAAATGTTGAATTATCAGACAACCCGGGTGGACTACATTTTATGAGCATGTGACGCAGTTCTCACCAGCAGTTTGTCAAAATACTGGATGTCATCCGGTTTGAGGAAGGGGAGGTTTCCAGAGGGTTGGTCATTCATCTGCTTGGTGGTGCGGTCCTCCACTTGCATGTGGAAGCCTGTCATGCCACCAATTGGGGTAGGCGTTGCCGAGAGCTTGCGGGCTGGCGTGCGGATTGGCACATAGCCAGCTGGTGGAGGCAACACCTGTATGGAAGGGCAAATAGGGAGCATGAGGAACAGGTATTGAGCGCCGGTACTAAACTGGCAGTGGGGCTAAATTATTAAAGAGTAGGAGTAAGGATGTGCTCATTTTACAAAAATGAAATAGCATGTTGCACGCAGCCGAATAGTGCACGGACCTTGTATCCTTCAGGAAACATGGCATCAAGCTCGTCGTCTGTGAGAGGCCGGTTTCTCTCGTCGATCTCCCGCTCCCACCTCCATGCTTGCAGCTGCTCTGGAGTCATGCTCATCAGGTGACCTGCAATGCCAGGACAACGGTGTGAAGTTGAACGCTCAACTTTTCACGTCCAATTGTGTTGACAGCAATAGTCGTCGTCTGACAAGTCCTTTAAATTTAACACCAGACACTGACGTCACCAAATCATCTCACTATGATATAGCATGTTGCTGTGCGAAAGCATACAAGGGTATGGCAATATTTCCCCTGAGCATGGTTTTGAGTCTCAGGCTGATTTTATACGATTGGATTTTATGTTAGGCTCTAATGTGACAATTTCCTGTAAAAGGGGCTGAATAAGCTTCTTCATATTACACCCAAGATATGAGTGGAAACCAATATGAGACATTTAGAATGCAACGCCTCTTTACCGGGTGTTGGGGTTGCCATATTCATGGCAGGGGTCCCAATAGGGGTCTTTCCAGGGGTCAGCAGTGGTGTTGAGGAGCCCATTTGACTAGCCGGTGTTTCATCCCAGCGAGATTTCCTCTTGCTGGCTCCTGGAGTGGGAGTCTCCCCCACAGACTCATCCCCCCTGTCTGTACGCGGGGTTTCAGCCCAGCCGCTCCCGTGTCCGGGCGTCTCCCTTTCCGTCTTTGGGGTTTCGTCCCAGCGGTTCTTCCGGACGCTTCCAGTCGCTCCGCCGTGGCCCGGTGTGGCATGTCCTGGTGTGTCTCTGCCTGGTGTGGCTGCGCCGGCCGGTGTGTGACTGGGTGTTGGGTCCCACATGCGCGAGCTGGGTGTTGCCCCGGGGGTCTCGCTGCCTTTGGGACGGCCGGGGGTTTCGTCCCATCGGCTGTTTGATGGTGTATGCGCTGGCGTGTGTCCCGGAGTCTTTAAAGCATGAAAAACATAGATAACGTGACTTTCCAGAGACAACCCAATGATCATGTTTGCGTGGCAAAACACACCTCAGCATTGGCATCAGCCTGGTCCCAGCTGGACATCTTTTTGGGGGTAGAATTGGTAGGGGTTTGGTCAGCCGTCTGGTCCCAGCGGCGCTTGCGTTTAGCTGCAGCGGCGGCGGCGGCAGCAGCAGCTTGGCTGGCAGCGGACCCATTGACAACTTTCAGGTCACCTGACTTGGCCTTCTCTGCGAGCTGCAGACGAATCTCTCTCTGCAAACGCAAAGCCAAAAATAAGCTCAACTAATAAAAGCAGCATTTTCTTGGCAAATTGGGGATATCTTTTCCATACCTCTTCCTTGGACAGATTCTGCTCTCTCATGACGTCCACATAAGACCTGACCTGGAGCTTGGGATCCGGAGTTTTGCCTCCTGCGCGAAAGAGCACCAACAAGAACAAAGGACACTCATTAGTGCATGCTCTCGGGACCCGCTTATGTTATTCACACCAAGCACAAACATAGCCAGCTAACCCTGGCTCTCTTTACAAATTTATGTTCCTGTTTTTAAAAACTGTGAAATCACAGAATATCCTACTGAGTTAATATGAAATATACATGTTTACCCTCTCTTACATAGACATAGCATCATAGGAAAAAAACAAGCAGATATATGGAGAGCAGAGCTTAAGTTTGTGGTGCTTTCTTTTAAGTAGATATAGCCATCACTGATGCAGAGGGGGTCCTGGGCTGCGCTCTTCAGAATACGTACACTTTCAGTGCCAAGGGTCCTTCTGCAGTCAGACTTCAACCAGCAGAAAAGCAGCCTAGAAAATTTTTCTTTACCATTAGTAACACTTTGGAAAAGGGTTTGAACTCACACACAACAGTATACCACCTGTTTTGCATTGATTTGTGACACTCAAAGAAACAAGGAAACAAAAAGAAGAAATCAAAGCATCTTCGAGGGGGACAACAAAAATTCTGAAGTCAATATAAATGAAGACTTGATTTTGAAGCTTATCTTAAATTTGCCTAAAAAATGAGGTCAACTTCCAGAGCCACGTTTGCTTGACTTCATCATTATTTATACAAGTAAAATTTCATCTTGACTTCCTTTCTGATAAAAAGGTAGCAAGTGAAATATTATAGCCAAGACACGTAGCTTATTTAGAAGGCAATAAAAAATTTAAGGGTCTTTTAGAGAATCAAAACAAGCTTCAGCTGGGTTCAACGACTACGAGTAAGTGGACCCTGACCAAAACTGACAAGTGCACAGTTCTCTCTGTGTCCCCCATAACCTACACAGGATGAGTTGCTGCGCCCTTAACAGAGTGCAGTACAGGACTGGCAAAGCAGTACTGCTGTAGGAGAGAAATTAAGGACAGTTAGTATGGGCCTGTGGTATGGTGGCACACAATTTGCTTTGTGAACATATTTCTATTTTACAGAGAGCCTTGTAAAATAAAAATATATTTTTACAACAACAATGTTTGTACACAGAGCTCTCTTTGCTCTTCCTACATGCAGGCTCCAAATAAGCCTCACCCTAATACTATTGGTAATGCTAACGCTTTTATTAATCGGTTCGACTCACTTTGTGGTTGGAAAGCATTCCGTTTTTGCTTGCATGTTGCTACTTGGGATGGGCATAACTGATCAATTTAAATGTGAGTATTCTATTGATTGTATAGAATTGATGGCTGATTTATCTTAAATAAAGTACACTGCAGGGGTTCAAATGCAGTGTTAATTTAACTAAACTCAACTGTTTTGAAATAACGGCTGTCCCTCAACTTGTCCCCGGGTGAGGGATCCACTTAAGACCAATATAAACCTGGTGCAAATAAAGACCTCTTTAGCCTCGGGGGGAAAAAATGCAGAGTAAACTGTTAATCCCATTTCAATCTGTTGCACAACGAGAAAGCAGCACCAATCAAGGCATGTAAATGGACTAAAAAAAATGAATAAATTACATGTAAACAAATTAATTATCTTGCAGTAACAGCTAGCAACTCCACTATGCTTTGTGCATCTATGATCATAGTACAGGGTACTACACGGCAGCCCTTTCTGCCACGATTATTATCATTTACTTATGTTTGACCTGTAGATCTGCATTTGAGTAGATAAACACACTCAAACACACTACGTGAGGAAGCATGATAACTGTGCTGAAACAGGCTTCATTTAGTACCTTGGCAATTTTGGCCATCAAAAATGAACAAAACAAAAATTGAAAATGTTAATTTCCCCTTAGTCGATCAAGACAAAAATGTTTATAATGCCCACCCCTAGTAGCTGCAAACAATGAAGTGTCATATGCGATACAGAGGTTAAGAATAACATTGTGCTACACTATTTCCTTCGACCAAAACGCCATCAGTGGCGATAAATCCATTGAAATTAAAACTGGTTTTGCAGAAGAAAACCCCCCC